CTACACACATACTGCATCGGTGACCACACTTTCATATTTTAGTTGCGCAAAATACATTACACTGTTGTTCAATAAACATGTTTTGCTTCATCAAGCAAAGGACATCTATGTGAATTGCACTGTTTGTGTCTAGGTATTCTGTCAAGTATAGTGAGTGTGTCTGCTTCAATTTGACATCTGTCTGATTGTCCCTATGGTTTTTGCAGGGGGGGTTATCTGAGCTGCACAACAAGGCTCAAGCTCAGAAACTGTTCATTTACTCGGTTTTTTGTAAATTTCCCTTGTATTTCTATATATACTTTTTGGTGTTTTGTTATCTCAAAATCCTCAGCTGAGAGAAGAGTGTATTACAATGATCTGCTTTTGCTTTTCATGACTGACTGTCACCCCAAAGTTGTGAAAGTGCATTAGTTGATAACTGATATTGGTATGAAGTAACTAGACTCATTGAGCCAGCAAAGTTTGAATCCTTCAAATGACCCAACTTTCGAATCACTAAAATGTGGATTAAACTGCGGTTTTGTGATTGCTCTGCATATCGCAGTGACTGACCAAACTATCTGTAAGGAAATTACTTTTTTTTTTTTTTTTTTGATATTTTACCCATCCCATAAATTGACTTACCCTACGTACCTGTAATTAATTCAACTACATGTAACGTCACCTACTTGGTTACTTGAAAGTTGAAACCAATTCAATCAGATGGTGTCATGTAGTGTAGTATTGCACAATCTCTTGTACTTTTAAGAGTATTGACCATTTTCATTCAAAGCAACTAAACTAGATTTTCCCAAACAAGTTGGTCATTTGTTATTGTTGCTTTCCACTATCATGCTTAGGAAAATGATAAATGTCCTTTTATAGAGTATTTATTTTTATTTTTTATTTTATTAAATGTCTTGAAAGAATAAACAGAAAAGAATAAAAATAATAATAGAATATAAAATAAAAATACACATAATATTACTCCCTAAAGTTCTTAATGAACATCACAACTCTTGAATATTTTATTAATGTGAAATTTAACTCTTGAATGTTTTACTTAATGTGAAATTTAAAGTGAATGTTTGGTTAGGTTTTGGCTATATGGGAGGTAGATATGCAAAACAATCCATCTGTCAAGGCATTCAATTCCTGAAGAAAAATTCTTAGAGCATCCACATCAGTGGATATTAGGGAGATAATGTCAGATGAACTATCTTGGGTGGGGATAATAACAAATGTGGGGTGGGGTTATTTGGGGAGATATTTATCCTACAAGTTAAGGGTTAATGTCAGAAAAAAAAAAATAAATAAATAAACAAACACTGGCTGTGCGCGTTTGCGCACAGCCATTGTCATTGCACGCGCCCGTGTAGCGCGTCAGGCGCGCTGACAGCGCCTGACGTGACAGATTTATATTATTATTTTTTTTTAAATTTTGTTTTGTTATTTTTTTTCTTTTTTTTTTTCTCTCCCCTCCCACACTCTCTTTCATAATCACTCTTACATTATCTCTCAAATCTCCCCAACTAATGTGGATGCTCTTAGAAGTTCCATTCTGACACGTCTTGTAGCAAGTTCAACAATCAATTTTTAGGATTGAATTTTTCCAGAACCAACAATGAAAGAGAAAAGATGTGGGAGAGAGAAAAAAAATCACTTGCTTTTATGCGTCCAATTGGCATGTGCACCTAGTTGGATGCGACAGGTGCGTATAACGCGCACCATAAACAAATATTCTTGTTTTTTGTTGTCAGAGTGGACCCCACAAAAAAATTGTACTTGCAATAGCACCTCACTTTTCTCTCTCCTCTCATTTTTTTTTTTGAATGTTACTGGCTCTATTACAATGTAATATATGTCTCTCCTCTCATTTCATTCTTCCACCTTATTTAAGATCCCGCAAAAAATCATCAAAAAATCATAGTTAAGATCCTTAAGAATGCTCTTAATATGACACCACTATAATGAATGTACTATTATTCATTTTTAATTTAACACTAAATATCATAATCTCTATTAACAATGCTTAATAAAGTCATGGCAAATCTTATCTTATCTTATATCTATAATAAAGCCAGATGTGTTGCCCACAAAAAAATGGCTCCAATTCCCGCCCAAGCAATACGACAACGTTTGGTAAAAGCCTATATTTGTGCAAAATCCTAGATATTCCACTCAGCTTTTACAGTGACTGTTCCATGTTTCGAAATAAAAACTTCTTTCGAAGCATCAGATGGAACTCAAGTGGAATTATTAAATAGCCAACATTATTATCTACATTCTTCCAGGCTATAAATACATATTACCATCCATTATACAGACCTGAGTTTAACTATTTCTAAGTTTTACTTTTCAAATGATTATTGCTTTTCTATACACAAGCATCAGCGAATATGAAGAAGATAACAACATCAACGGTTATTTGTAGCAAGAGGAAAGTACAATCGAATGGAAAAGGTTAGTTCACAGTCTATTAATCTTTATTACTGTAATAGTTCACAGATCTGTTCAGATATAAAACATGCATGTTCCGATAACATTACAAAGATCTGTAGAAATAAGAGTTTAAATACACGTGTTTAGTTTATTTAAATCTAATAGAAGTTACTTTCTGAAGTAGAGTTGTAAATTCATAACCAGATCGAGATGAAGGAAATATAATATCGAAGAAATAAACTGTAATAGAATTTTAGATCAAACTGAAATTTTAGTTTCTGAGTATAGTGAGTACATTTTCCGGCTGTTGGTAGTCCGAGACATAGCTTCGTCGAGTTAGCCTGCGATTGAGAGTACTCAGATTAAATGTGAGGCTAAATGTGAGATGAAGAGACTCATGAGATAGCTTCTAGAGTACAATCGCTATGAAGATGAGGGAGGCGGAGTACTGAAAAAAGCTATGAAGATGACAGAGATTTGGAGGAGTAATGAAAAAAGTGAGGAAGAAGTGGGTGGAGTGTTCTAGAACTAAATAGATATGGCAAAAAAATAAGGAAATCTGGTAGGATCGGATGACAGAGATCTGGAGGAGTAATGAAAAAAGTGAGGAAGAAGTGGGTGGTGTGTTCTAGAACTAAATAGATATGGCAAAAAAAATAAGAAAATCTGGTAGAAAATCTATATATATATATATATATATATATATATATATATATATATATATATATATATATATATATGTATGTATGTATTGATTTAAATAATTATTTGCATTTAAATTTTATTTTTTTATTGGTAGCAAGAGGAAAGTACAATCGAATGAAAAACGTTAGTTCATAGTCTATTAATCTTTATCACTATAATAGTTCACAGATTTGTTCAGATATAAAACATGCATGTTCCGATTACAAAGATCTGTAGAAATAAGAGTTAGTTCACAGATTTGTTCAGATATAAAACATGCATGTTCCGATTACAAAGATCTGTAGAAATAAGAGTTTAAATACATGTGATTAGTTTATTTAAATCTAATAGAAATTACTTTCTAAAGTAGAGTTGTAAATTCATAACCAGATCGGTTCTGGTAAGATTGATCGGATATATGTATATATATATATATATATATATATATATATATATATATATATATATATATATATATATATATATATATATATGTGTGTGTATTGATTTAAATAATTATTTTCATTTACATTTAATTTTTTTAATTGTATTTATTTTGTTTGTGTAGAAAATTGTTCTCCAGAATCTTTTAATAAAGGAGCCAGCTCAAGTTCATCATTAGTGTACGGAGTTTTCCAAGGTTCACTATCTATTCCTTTCAGTGTGTTGACCAATGGTTAGTATAGTTTTCTATTCTTTAATTTTATACTACGTTTTCAAATACAGTAAGATAAAAATATGATACTTTTCCAGGTGTAGAGCTTTTTCAAACAACAATCAAAAGTACATATGATAATTCGTCATTTGTTGAAGGAACCCGCAAGTCATTTCGGACTAATAGTAAAAGTACTCCAGTTACTATTAATAATCATGGTGAGATTAAAATATGAATGTTTGTAAATATATTTATCTTAATTTCACATACTGAATAACATTAATATTTTGTTATGATCAATGTTATCTTCAATTTTGAAAACAATGTTTTTAGCTCTCAGAACTTGCAGGTGCAACTCAAGATAAATCATGTTGAGATTAAAATATGAATGTAAATATATTTATTTTTGAAACACTTGCAGGCACAACTCAAGATAATGTATATTCTACTTTACCGCTAACTGATGTGACAAATGGTAATTATGTACAACAACATTATTAAAATTTCGTCTGGCATTATTATGAACTAATATCTTAATTGTCATTTTATATTACAGTGAATTTGACAAGTCGAACTATCCGGCATACACGATCTAGGTTATCTACGATGATATGTAGGGACAATAATAATGTTGAAGAAAATACCAGTAAGAAAATTAATATTTTTTAAATTTATTTGTAAACTTTGTTCTTAATTAAATATAATTAATTCATTCAAAGTATCTTCAAATGTTGTAGGTAATGTTGATACTTCAAGTCAGTTTAACCAGCTTTCTAATAAAATTAGTGCACAAGAATGTAATACATCATCATTCCACATTCGAGACCTGAGTAGAGATTTTGAAGAGGCTGCAGTAACAGTCATCGACTCTGGTAAAGATTATTAATTATACATTAAGTTTGTGTTCGTATAGTAGTTGTCATCAACTAATGTTTGTCACCACAATTAGAAACATTATTCCGTATTTTATATGTTTGCAGATGAATACGCTGATTTGGGTGACGCGCTTCATTGCTGTGAACATTGTTCTGCACTATTTTGGTTTGATGAACGTTTAAAGCAGTCTAGGGTTAATGGACGTCCGAAATACTCATCATGCTGTGGTCATGGCAAGATTGGATTGCCCACTATTACTGTCCCCCCTAAAAAATTGTTTGATTTATTCTTTACACCAGGGGATAAAAGAAAACATTTTTTGGAAAACATTAGATCTTATAATAGCATGTTTTGTTTCACATTAATGGGTGCAAGGATTGATAATTCAATAAACAGTGGTGACCCTATTGCCACGATCGTGGATAGTACATTCCCAATGTTCACGAATGGAACTTGTGACAACACTTTTTTAGAAAAGCGTGCAATTTTGGCACCTACACTTGATGTTGTTAATTCCATTAATGAATACATGAGTAACATACATGTTGCAGAGAGCAGAACTTACCTTAGTTGTGACACTGTATGTCGAACTGAGTCTAATAATGGCATTCTGGCGGATGTGCACACACCGGAGTTCCTAAATGGGTTGCGAGTATCTGGCATTCCTAACCATTCTTTGACGTTAAAGGTGAGTTCACCTGTGATGTTATTGAGGAATATAGATCACACACTTGGTCTATGCAATGGAACTAGGCTGATAGTAACCAGGTTGTCAGCACATGTCATAGAGGCCAAACTAATGTCAGGTAACCATATTGGTACCAGGGTTTTAATACCTAGATTGACAATGACTCCTTCGGACCCTAGATTGCCATTCAAGTTCAATAGAAGATAATTTCCGGTAACGCTCTCATATGCAATGACCATAAATAAGAGTCAATGACAAACACTTTCTCATGTAGGTTTGTTACTTAAGAAACCCGTGCTTGTACATGGTTAGTTGTATGTTGCTCTCTCAAGAGTTAGTAATCCACAAGGTCTCAAGATTTTAATTTGTAATGAGTTAGAACATGGATGTACTTCCACCATTAATGTGGTTTACAAAGTATTTAATAATTTATAATATTCATTATCTTTAGATTCAAATGATAATTATTCTTTTATGTTACACTAACTACACATTTATTTTTTATATACATTTTTTATATTCTAACAATTGTACTTGGAAATTTATTTTGTCGTAGATTATATTCTTTTCATGTAATTTTTCTAATATTTTATTAACACAGTATAACATGAATATTAAAAGTCGTTCCCCGTGCATCGCACGGGTATCATACTAGTACAAATATACAATGAACCCTTGTCAAGTTGTCATTTATCATCTTTGAATAAAGTGTTATCATGAGTGAACCATGCTGATTGAATCTCACAAACTTGCATGCATGAGATAATATCATAAGGAGTAATATACTGCACACATGCATGTTTATGTGTTTATGCATGTGTGTATGTGTATCATAGTCTAAACACTTTATATTTTTTAAAGTTCTTATAAGATCTTTGATGCTTGAATTAGGACACTTTGCATTAACAATTCTAACAAATATTTTTATATTTTCATGTTCATTATACATTAATGATTATACATTTTAATTTATATTTATGCGACTATTTGAATATAATTTGAAACCTTATTTAAAAAGAACTCAACCTTTTTAATAATTGTTAACCATCTACAAAGTAGAATATAATTCATTTAGGGTGGTAAAAACAAGTTGTAAAGTCATTTAGTTTTGAAAAGACCAACAAAAAAATTGACACTCCTATTTCACATTTTCAGTGGTTAACTAATGGAAAATATTTTTCTATGTTTCAAAACAGACCCTTAATGTATAATTAAAACAAATGCAACTGTAGTTTCCCTAAGCAGTAAACAGTAAAGACAATAGAAATGCTTTGGAATAGAGATACAAAGCCACATTATATGCATTCAACATCAAACAAGATTTGTCAAATTGACTAAAAAAATGTTAAAATATACTCCGTATATTCTTATTACTAGACTATTCCTCAAGATGTACCAAAGATGTTTGACTAGTCTGCACTTTGAAGTTTTAGGCAAAAATGCAAAATGAATATCAGTGCACTATAGCAAGTCCCTTCAAGACCAGAATTGTAGTTAATTTGATTAAGAAACAAGTTAAATCTATATTTTTAATCCTACAATCCCAAAACCATTTACACATTGCATTCTTAATTTACATTGCAATGCCCAAAATTATCAGATAAAGTGTATGCCGTTATATCACTGCCAGATGAAGTATAATCTAAGCAGCAACTAAATGAATGGGGAAAAGGGGGTCGAAAATGAAGATGAAGTCTAGGGCAGATTGAAAATTTTTGAATTCTCATGGAGCATCAACTCCAGGAATTATCAAATGCAGCAGAGGTTATTGCCTGAGCGAACTCCGGAAAGTTGATACAGCCATCGCCGTCAGTATCGGCCTCCCTGATCATCCCCGTCAGCTCCTCCGCCGTCAAGGCGTGGCCTAGCTTAGCCATGGAATGCGCCAACTCGGCCGCTGTTATGTATCCATTGCCGTCTCTGTCAAACATCCGGAATATCTTCCGCAGCTGCTCCTCCGTGTACGGACACTTGGCCGGTATGAGCTCCGGCTCCACCAGCGCGACGAACTCCGAGAACTCGATCAAGCCGTTGCTATTCCTATCGGCCTTCTGGATTAATGAGTCCATCTGATCCGCACTCGGATTGAGGCCGAGCGATCGGAGTAATGATCCGAGCTCGAGCTGCGTCAAGCTTCCGTCGTTATTCCGATCAAATGACCGGAAAATCTCCCGTAATTCGGCTATCTGCTCATCATCAAGCTTCACCGCTTCATTTCCGCCCATGGTGGATCCCTATAACCGACTATCTATCAAATATTCTTCAATTCCCCTATACATTTCACAAAATCACGAAAATCGTAAGAAGATTTCTCAGAGAGAGGAGGCGATGAACATCTTACGTAATTACCTGGTGAGAAAATTTCAGATCTCAGCAACAAAAACGTTGGACACGTAGATACGTATACGAAATGATGAGAATGAAAAACCAGAGAAACGGAAGGAGCGATTGAAAATGACGTCGTGATTGGGGTCAACGGCCGAGCATGATGATGATTGCGTCCATTAAGGAAGAGAATTGTTATGATGAAGAAACCGTCAAGGCGTCAACCCTTTAGGCGGATTCAAAATATATCTGCAGACAATTTTGGAATGCTATACCCCTCCCTCATCACGCGCGCGAATCCGGATTTTGGGCCTGCTTACACGTCAGATTATTTGGGCTTGATTGTTTACGTCTGGGCCTCAGCAGAAGATATATTATAATAATATTTCTGAACCACATTAAACAATTCCGACCTTAGCTCAGTTGGTAGAGCGGTGGACTGTAGTGGGTTATCCGCATCCATCCATAGGTCGCTGGTTCAAATCTGGCAGATTGGATTTTTTTTTAAAAAAATTCTGATTATACTTAATATTATTTTTTTTTAATTATGATTATACTTATTAGTTACTTTATTGCATTGAGTAAATAAAACATGATTCTCGTACATCTATTTTATCCCGCTTGTGTGTTTTATAGACTATTACTCAATAACAAAATTTATTCAATTACAAATTCAAATAATAACTACTAATTCCCTTATTACCTTGAAAAACAAAAAACAACAAAAAAAAAAAAAGTTTTGTTTTGTTTTTGTTTTTTTTGGAGAAACTCGCTTTTTTCGATCTGCTTAAGTACTTTACGGCTTTACCTACTTAAGTTATGCAATTCTCAGTTTCTCACCAGATTATAAGGACTTATGTGAAATTAGTGGAAACCAGAGGGCATAACTGAAATTACGCCAAATCTTTTGTGCGGGTCTGGTGACTGGGATACCGGATGTGAAGTGTAAATTAGCAGTTTACTTTTCGTGTGTTCAAAGCTAGAAATCCTCGCAGAGAAGAAAGAAGCAATCAGGCAAATCACTTCAACCTTTCTTGATGATCGCCATTATATTCTTTTTCCTTTTTTTGTTTAATTTTAATTTAATTATCAAACTATCAAGTTGACTTATTATGAATTTTTTTTTTTGTCTTCAAAATACAAATGGTCATTATGTGATGATGATTACTATAGCAATAGCGAAGTGAATTCAAATGCGATATCTGATTTTTTTTTTTTTTTTCCATAATACTGTTTTTCATTTCCGTCGAATTTGATTCTCAAGAATGATTTTCGTTAGATTTTATTTTTCTGTGAACTCAATGTGATTATGCTGGAGAATTTTCAAAATTCAGAATTATGATTATCATATGAATGGATTATATTTATTGTAGGTTCGGATGCGTGGTGGATGAAATTTCAATAGAATAGTTAGATTTTGTTGAGTGGTGCATAGATTATGAATTGATGTTTAAGAGATTTTGAGGAGTGTTGTGAAAAGGTAGGAGCAGCGATAAAGTGTTTTTGTGAATTTTGAAAATTTGTGAAAGATGAATGACAAATTGATGGATAAAGTTAGTTCCTTTGGAGAGATATTGAGGATTGGAGGATCTGAAGTTGGGCAGAAGATCAGTGCTGGAATGAGCTCCATGAGCTTTAAAATGAGAGAGTTCTTCCAAGGCCCAAATCAGGTGGATATCCTCATTGAGGAGGCCACTGCTGAAACTTTGGATGGGCCTGATTGGGAAACGAATCTTGAACTCTGTGACATGATTAATCAGGACAGGATCAATAGTGTTGAAGTCATACGGGGCATAAAGAAGAGGATTGTGTTGACAAGCCCCAGGATTCAGTACTTTGCTCTGGTGTTGCTTGAAACCGTCGCAGAGAACTGTGATAAGGCATTCTCAGAAATTGCAGCTGAGAAGGTGCTAGATGATATGGTGAAATTGATTGATGACCCTCAAACTGTTGTAAACAATCGCAACAAGGCTCTCATGTTGATTGAATCTTGGGGTGAATCCTCTAGTGAACTTCGCTATTTGCCTGTTTTTGAAGTAACCTACAAGGTAGCTTTTACTGAGCTTTCTTTCCTAAATTTGTTCTTCCAATTGCTTTCAATGGATCACGGTAGGAACACGCAAATGTAAAATTGTTGGCATTTAAGTATGTATTCTTTTTAGATCTTTGGTTATTAAGTCTTCTTCAACACCAATCTTACTGGTTGCTGATGGCCATGGACCATGCAGAAGTTGTTGATCTTATTAAAAATCTTTGGGTTGTAGGTATCAGGTCTATCATGAAAGTTTATTTTCAATTTAAGCCAGAGTACAAGATGGTTTGATAGTCAATGATCTAAATGAAGTTTATTGTCTTGCTGTGTTCTATCTCCTCTTGGACAGATTGCTTTAAATGCTGATGAAATCCATGCAAATACTGAAATATATGTTTAAATGGGAAATCAGCTATGTAGTTATTGCTTCCTGATCTGGCATTTTCTTTTACCTTTTCTTTGTTTCCATTTTAGAGCTTGAAAGAAAGAGGAATAAGTTTCCCTTGCCGTAATGATGAGAGCCTGGCTCCTACATTCACTCCTCCAAGATCTATAACAGATTCAGAGCCAAGTGCTACGTTTGCACAACAAATCTGTGACAATATTCCACCTCCCTTTACCTTTTCTGCAGAACAGACAAAGGAGATATTTGATGTGTCAAGAAATAGTGCGGAGCTTCTTAGCACTGTTTTATTGTCTTCACCTCAGCCAGATGCTTTGCAGGTAACTATTTCTTATTGCCCCCACCATATGTCATATCTTATTTAAACTTTCTGTTGAAATGTCCTGTGTATATAAGCAATACTAATCAGGATATTTTGTTTAGTTCACTAAAGATTAATTAAGAATCGCCCATTACAACCAGCTTGATTGGCGTGAGTGGCCCTGCACTCTCGTCCTTTAAGAGAGGTCGGGAGTTTGAACCCCTCTCGTATGGAGAAACCAATCTGGCCAGCACTTTGCCCCTTAATTGGGCCGGCTCGGTGCGAACGATGATTAGTTTGAGTATGGTACGGGCTTAAAGGTGCCTCCTACAGTTAGGGCATGCTCAGGACACCTCGTGGTCTGACTCAAAAAAAAAAAAAAAAGAAGAAGAATCGCCCATTACAAAACTTACCATAAACCAAAGTGTTGGTTTTCAGCTGCTGAAATGCAGCTATGATCTCAACAATCTTTCTAAATTTAATGCCCAGCATTAGTCATACTACTTTATTGCCAACTTTTGAAACCGTTTTCAGGATGAGTTGACAACCACACTCGCAGAACAATGTCGCCACTCCATAAATACTGTTCAACGAATCATTCAGACTGCTGGGGATAACGAGACCCTCCTTTTTGAAGCATTGAATGTGAATGACGAACTCCAGAAAGCCCTCTCCAAGTATGAAGATATGATGAAACCTGCAGCAGCTCTATCAGTAACAGCACAAGCCCCAGCACCTGCTATGGTACCTGTCGCTACTGAGCCCAACGAGTATCCCCATGCCGGAAAAGAAGAAGCCCTGATCGAAAAACCTGCAGGCTCCCATAGCAGAGTCCATGGTGAGAACAAAAGCGACACCGCTGATGATCTTGAGATGGTCTTCTGCAGGAAATCCGGCAGCCCTTCAGAATTAGGACATGATGACCAGAAGCTGCAACCAGCGAGGGATGATCTCATTACCTTCTAAGTTGCTCCATAGCACTAGACTTTAGTTATCAATTCCTTTCCTGATGTCAATAAGAGGCCTTTTAAGATGTTCTGTATTGACATTGGTTTGATTTACGATTATTAAATAAATTAATATTCGTAAAATGACATAGAAAAGGCCCTCCTAAATTAAACTTAACAAACTATTGTCTAAAAATACTAAAAAAAAAGTATTTTATCTTGTAAAATGCAAAAAAGATTACTACTACACTCATGGAATTGAGGTAACATATCCTGATTAGGGCAAGGAATAAGATTTTGGTAATCCCCAACCAAGTAGGCTTGGTAGCCATAACTCCAATAAGATATCAAGATTTCAAAATTTTTAACTCTCTATTTCAAAATTTGACATTGCATGCCTTCTTCGACTCCTTCTTTAGTCGAAGAATGCGACTGCCATATTACCAATTAATGCGTCTTAATGCACTAAATTAATTAGTTAAAGTACTTAATTATAATTTTTAAAATTTTGAGGGGTTTTTGGTTAAAAGTTAGAAGCCTTATTTTACCCTTTTTTTTTTCTCTTTAAAGATGATAAATTTTGGTGAAATTTCAAATATTTTAGGTTGAATTTGATTAATTTTAAAAAGTTAAAGGATTAAATAGTTAAAAGGATTTGGAATAAGGTTCAAATTGGCCACTGAACGTAACCTAAAAATGCAATTAGGCCACTGAACGAAAAAAAAGTGCAATTAGGCCACTGAACACTCCAAAAATGTGCAATTTCACCTGATAGCAGGTTACCTTCAATTTTAGCAGGTTATCTGCTTACGTGACAGCTGAGTTGGCATTTGTAATAAATTTTAATTAATTTTTAATAAATTTTAATAATAAATTTTTATTAAAAAATTTTTTTAAAAAATAAAAATGACTTTATTTTATTTTTTATTTAATTTTTTCTAATTTTTTATAAAATTTATTATTAAAATTAATTATTAAAAATTATTTAAAAATTATTAAAAATGCCAACTTAGCTGCCACGTAAGCAGGTAACCTGCTAAAATTGATGGTAACCTGCTATCCGGTAAAATTGCGTACATTTGGAGAGTCCAGTGGCCTAATTGCACATTTTTTAGTGTTCAATGGCCTAATTGTACTTTTTTTTCGTTCAGTGCCCTAATTGCATTTCCAGGTTACGTTCAGTGGCCAATTTGAACCTTATTCCAAAGGATTTATATAACAGTGTAACCTTTTGAGATTCGGCCCAACTCCAAAGCTCCACAGACCACAGTCTCAGGTTTCATCGTCGGTTTGGCGTTAACCATGAAATATCAAGCTATCATCTCCTTCACGATCTCTCATATTATCCAAGCGTAGTGTGTCAGACGTTGATTGTGCGAGCTCGACAGTGTGCAAATGGCGGGAAGACATTACTCGACTGTTACCGGAAACTCGAAATCCAGATCTCCATTACTGATCTTCGTTCTTGCGCTTCTGCCGCTCTCTTTCGTCTTTTACATGTTCTCCTCCCCTTCTCCGTCCGAAACCACCACTGCAGCAATCCACTCCGTCCGAAGCCCTAGCTCAGGAGTAGATTATTCTTTCGTATCCTCACTTGAAAAGTTCCTAGCAAAATCTCAGCGATCTCCGACTGTCGGCGATGATTCAGTCGTCGGTGAAGCTACCGTAGAGGATATTCGTAAATTGGATGATTCGGTATGGAGTAAGGAGACTCAAAGGTTATACGAAGAGCCGTTCTACCCTCCTTCTTCACCTATTAAGGTCTACGTCTACGAAATGCCTAAGAAATTCACTTACGATTTGCTCTGGTTGTTCCAAAATACGTACAAACAGACCGACAACCTTACGTCAAATGGTAGTCCGGTTCACCGGCTGATCGAGCAGGTGATTTTGCTTTTTCACATTTTAGTTTCCCAGTTTCATTCGTATCAGTAAAATTTTTTAGCTGACATTTATCTTTTGATGTGTAGCATTCAATTGATTACTGGTTATGGGCGGATTTGATAGCACCAGAATCAGAAAGGCTGTTGAAGAATGTTGTGAGAGTGCATAAGCAGGAGGAGGCTGACCTATTCTACATACCGTTTTTCACTACCATTAGTTTTTTCTTGCTTGAAAAGCAGCAATGCAAGGCTCTATATAGGGTGTGAGTGCATTTCCAGGCAAATATTATAATTTTCTTTTTCCACTGTCACGGATTAATATGATGTAGTCTCTGGAAATCTATTGGGATTGAATGAACTAGGAAATAGCTTATTTACATACTCACATTAAGATTCTCTACTAGATACAAGAGTCTTATTTTCTTTTCCCCACAAATGTAGTTCTTGATTTGCATCAAGGTCATATTTTTTTACATTATTTTGTTCCCCTGTGGGGAGGATATGGGTTTTTTTGTGTTACTATACTGTATGCTTGGATGGGTAGAAAGTCTGGGGATGTTAAATGGGAGAGAAAATATGAGGGAAATAAACTGGAGAAGAAAAATTTGTCTTTGTATGAAAAGAAATAAAATGAGAGTGATAAATGAAGCTGATGAATATCTTAAGAGGGAGAGATGAATTTCACACCATATATTGTGTGTTGAGACTTGAGAAAGTGAGCACCCATTTTCTTCTCATATTTGGAAGGAAAATTATTTGATAGGGGAGGATTATTTTCTCTTTGTTTTCTTTCTCCTCCATTATCCTTCTCAAACAAGAGAAAATCAACATTTTCATCTCTTTTCTTCTCCCCTAAACAATTTCTTTCCTCTCATAAAATTCAGAATGAACAGCATCTAATGTTGATATTTTGTTTCTATCTAAAAATTAGAACTAGATATTTGCTGCATAAATGAAGCTCCATTAGCTCTCTTGAATTGGAACTTAAATTATTTAGCACAGTTTCAGTTTCATTTGGCTTTTCGAAACATCTTATTGCATTTTTTTTTTTTTCTAAATGTAGGAGGCCTTGAAATGGGTTATGGATCAACCTGCATGGAAGCGTTCCGAGGGAAGAGATCATATCCTTCCTGTTCATCACCCCTGGTCTTTCAAGTCTGTTCGCAAATTTATGAAGAAAGCAATTTGGCTGCTTCCTGATATGGATTCAACAGGGAACTGGTTAATACCTTTCCCTAGTTTGCATTGTGTCAAAAGATCCTAACATTTATAAAGCTAAAACTCATAATTCTGTTTAACTTCAGGTACAAGCCAGGACAGGTTTATCTCGAAAAAGACCTGATACTTCCTTATGTACCCAATGTTGACCTATGTGATGCCAAATGCGTATCAGAAAATGCACCAAAGAGAAGCACACTGCTATTTTTCCGTGGGAGGCTTAAAAGAAATGCGGTAGGCTTCTTTTTTCTATTTTCCAAGGATGTAGCATGCTTTCAGAAAGTTTGATAAGTAATGATGATTGCGCATATGTTCATTGTGTTACTGAGGTATCTACTATGGGAATAACACATTAACTGTTACATGATGTGTATACTTTTTCTGAGCAATATCTTAAATTATAGTACACTACTGTGAAAGTGGCTGCTCTAAATAATTTACATCACTTTCCAGGGTGGGAAAATACGTGCCAAACTTGTGACAGAACTTAGTGGTGCTCAGGGAGTACTTATAGAGGAGGGAACTGCTGGAACTATTGGAAAGGCAGCTGCTCAGAGTGGCATGCGCAAGTAAGTTTTAAGTTATCTAGGAAAAACTAAAGTTTAAAAAAAGCATAGCTAATTTTGATTCTTTCCTTTGGTGATCAGGAGTCTATTTTGCCTTAATCCTGCCGGTGATACTCCATCATCTGCCAGATTATTTGATGCAATTGTTAGTGGCTGTATTCCTGTCATAATAAGTGATGAACTAGAACTTCCTTTTGAGGGGATTCTTGACTATCGAAAGGTTTGTACATAAGCTATGATTTGCCCCTTGGTTTACTTCATTGTTTCTCCTTAAAGTGTGTAAAAAAAGTGACTTATTGAAGTGAGATATAGTTAGATCATAATCAGTTTTCTTTGCTGATCAAATTGCATTTCCTTGTCCTCCAGTCTCTGCATACTACATGACTAGTTCTGTTTTATTATTATTTTTCTTAATCATCAATATCATTGGAAAAATTACCTCCTTCCCAGCTGCTCCATCCCTCTAACCTTTTGAGTGTGTCAGCCTCTTACTCTGTGTTCCTTTGGCAGATTGCTTTATTTGTGTCCTCTAGTGATGCTGTGCAGCCAGGGTGGCTCCTTTCATTTCTGAGAAATGTTAGTGCTGCTCAAATCAGAGCGATGCAAATGAACTTAGTTAAGGTTTGTGCATCTGAAATGCTACAACTGCTGTCTTATGTTCATTCCTAAGTTTTAGAAAATAATGGATAAGTTTCATTATTAGAAGCTGTTAGTGATTTTTTATTGAGTTTATTGCACAAACCCAGTCATTACAAATACTCTAATAGCATGCATCGTCTTTTTCTTATGATATCAGTATTCGAGGCATTTTCTGTATTCGCATCCAGCTCAACCTTTGGGCCCAGAAGATTTAACCTGGAGAATGGTTCGTTATCTGTACTTTAAGTTATTTAGCTGTCAGCCTGTCATTTTCCACTGTATGGTTCCACTTTCTGCTAGTTACAAGTAGTTCAAAATGCAGGATGTTGATTATATTCTTTGAATGTTATGGTGGAAAGCATTCAAGCTTTATGTTTCTAGAAACTGAAGCTTAACATGAAAGCATAAACTAAAAGCATTGCACTTCCATGCTTATGTTTCTTTGTTGGGTGGCTATCTTATAAATATGGCATTCTCCTGCGACTCTGCAAGGGCATATGACAAATCCTACTAGTGAAATACTGAAAATTAGTGCAGTATTACTATTCTAGTTACATTTTTATTAATATTTTGTTAATTATTTATGATGGCTGTGCAGATGTCAGGGAAGCTGGTTAACATTAAGCTCCATACTAGGAGGTCTCAGCGGGTAGTGAAAGAATCTAGAAGTCTGTGCACTTGTGATTGCAGGCGCCCCAATAGTACTAACCCAGGTCTCTTGCTTTGAACACTACAATGTTTCTATTTGTTTCCTTCTGTATTATTTGTTTGGAATTTTGTACATCAATGTCTCAATTGCTTTAGTATGTCTTTGCAATTCTTTCCCTTCTGCACTCTCGAGAATTGGAACGACTTTTCTTTTGAATTTTTATTTATCCCACATCATTTGCTTAGTGCCCATTGTGCTGCAGATGGAGTTTTCATGTATGAATTATGAAGAATGTCAATCCGTGTTAATTTAATTTATTTTTGTTCTAATTAGCTGGAGAATCTTGTTTCAATAATTATACATGTGAACTGGGAGCCTGAGATGTGCCCGTACATGTTCTTATGCTCTACTGAAAATGAGTTTTAGTATTATATAATTTTCTAGATGGAAAGGATGACGTGGTCAATCATGTTCATGGAACCTGAACTCAAGACTTGCAATTCTATACTCTAAAGCCAGGATCTCATCGCACTGGCCGTGCTGGTTTTGGGTGTTTTCAGAGCGTATGCGTGTTATCACATGCAAATCTCTGCTTCCTGGCAACAGACCACCGACGTCCTATACTTCCTACCACTAATAATTTAATATTAATCTTCTACTATACCACTAATAATTTAATATTAATCTTCTACTATACGCTGATTTCTTCCATCTTTTCACCGCCTTTGTTCTTTTCCATTTCTATGTCATATTGTCATTTATCCATAGGATCAGTTTTTGGTGCTAATGCTGCTGATCCCTATTATAAAATGTCATTATTAATACTGGCCTACAAAATAAACGATGAGACACTATATAGTAACATGATATCACTGCATTCTCTCAGACCTTAGTTTAATTTGGCCATTTTATTGAGTGACAGGTGAAACTTGCAACCACTATTTTAAAGATATTGGATAAATTCAGTCTTATGATTTTATCTAGTAAAGGACTATACGGAGGTAAATCAATTTAAATTGTCCATATTTGATCAGTTTAAATCAAGAAAGTCAATAGGTTTGGAGTTGAATTTGTAATCTTATGATAATTAAGTCAACAATCTAATCAATCTGGCTGGAATTGCTTCTTAATTTGACCTATGGGAGGTGTTGATTATATTAAGAATAGTAACCACAAATATGCCAATATGATCTGAACGAGATTTGACCTATTGGAGGTGTTGATTATATTAAGAATAGTAACCATAAATATGCCAATATGATCTGAACGAGATTTCACAAAGTCTATATCGGAATTCAACCGCCACCGACCTCCAGTGCATGACTACCGATTAAACATGTAAACATCCAGCAAAGCAATGCGTCAACAGCGCATCCAAGGTGGGGTCGCAGTGGGAGACAGGTAAGCCTGCGCCGTCAAACACTCCGCTAATACCGCGTTACTTGTGCCATCTATTCTCCCCGTTTCTGTTTTTGGTCCATTTGCAATTGACCCAGAATTCCAAGGGTAGTATCGTCACCCGCATTCTTATTTTCTTTCATATTTATGAACTATGATTTTCATTTTTCAAAGTTAATAATCTATATAAAAAAAAATTATAATACACCACACATTGTCACTATGTGAGGATAATTTTTTTAAAAATTTCAAAGCTTGTCTTCTTTCACTCTGTGGATTCATTTTTAATAGTCATTAAAATTGTATGAATCTCAAAAAATTATTTTAAACCATTTTTCATTATATATGTTATAAGTTCCGTTTAATTTATACTCCGTAGTATATAAGTAAACTAATATATAGTATACTAATAAAGAGTATCATAATCTCAAACTAGTTATAGAAGTAAATATGACAATTATTTTATTAAATCAATTTTATTTATGTTAAAAAGCAATATTTGCACGGGTGCATATATGATCTTATATGGTTTGTAATATGGGTTATTGTTATTCATATTCATTAGTTATTTGTAAATTAATCAATTCTACTATTTCGTATAAATTAATCAAACAAGATCATACCAACTTGAATTGTATAACAATATAAGATTAAGTGCAAGTAGCAAAATAACAATATAGCATTATCTTATATATAGCTTCACTATCATTTTTTTTTTTTTTTTGAATAAGCTTGACTATCATTTAATAACATGGCAATGTAATTTCTTTTACTATCATTATCCCTTACCACTAGAGTCTATACTACTTTTTTGGAGAAAATTATTATGTGGATCTGGGTCAACATTGCACAGTGGACACAGGTCTAAAAATAAATAATTTACCTACTGAATGTTCACAATTTGCATACCTAATATTCACAATTTTATATACTAAATGTTCACAATCCAAATTGTGAACATTTAGTATGTAAAATGTGTATTTTGGACCTGAGTCCACCTTACTTCATGGTATAACTATTGACTTTTAGGTGCACTCTAATTATGTTTAAAGATAACAATTTTTTTTTAATGTTTTGTTTATAAATTGTGCTTGCTTGCATAAAAGTTAATTTTGTACTACTATAGAATAATTAAGTCAAAGGTAACAAATCTTTATAATAAAGAATTATCAATCAATTGTATTATAAACACTTTTTCTTGGCTTTTAAAGGGGAGAGCAAAAAAAGCATGGCAAAGAAAAAACAAAAGAAAAAGGGGGGGAAATCAGATTCATACCATTTGACATTTTCACACTTTTAATCAGTTATCAGGTCAAATACCAACACTACCCTTCAATTTCTTGCAATTATCGTGTTTGCCACTCATGAGTGCAAATATAGAAAATAGAAATATTGTCCGAACACAGCACCCATCCATCATTCACGCACGCATACTGGAGTTGCTGCCAACCTTCCCGATAAAATTATTTTAAAATTGGAAATAAAAAAATAAAATTATAATTTTAGCTTTTGGGACGCGCATATGAATTCCCTTGCCAATGCCTCAGTATAAAAGAGATCGCAACCCGAAAAAGAAGCTAGCGTAGGTTGCCTTGAGTTGAGTGCTGGCTGTTGACGGCGGTCCGGCCAATTCCGCCGCCAGTTGATGATCGGAGTTGCAGAAGTGGTGGAGCATTATACTTTTTTGTTCGTTTCAACTCAGAGAGGCATTTAATTCACTGCATAGAAACGGTATCTTTCATTGCTTGTGCTAAGTTTCGTGCACTCTTGTTCTCCGTACCTCCTATCACCTGCTGCCATTTCATGATTTTACTACTTCTAGTCGTTAAACTACTTTCTGAATTTTTATTTTATTTATTTATTGCATTGTTGTGCTGAAAATTGTTCGATAAATGCTTTCGATTTGCAACTGTTAATTTTTCAGATTGAGCATCGTACGGAGATCCATGCATTGAATCTGAAGCCATGGTTATGCGCTTCTTCTACTAAGCATTGACTGGTATGTATACCTTATCTTCCTGTTTTCCTTTGTTCTCAGGTCCCTAATGTTTTGCTGGTGTGTGTGTGTGGTGAGCGAGTACAGAGATCCGGATTTCGATATATTGAAACCGTTGCTTGGATCTGTCTGTTTTGAAACCGTTTAGTTCGATTTTGACTTGTGTCGGACTTGATTTGAACTTGTTTTTACGCTTTTGCTCTGCACCTGTTATGGAGTTGTTGAGCATTTATGAGACTTGTATTTAATTTGCGTTTGCATTTATTCACATAATAAAACTTGTTTCCCATCTGGTATAGTTTTGATTTGATCTAATACTCATTTTGAATATATATTTTGTTGAAAAGATAAATACTGATGGATAATTATCTGCTAAAAAGCTCAGATTTTAATCACATTGGTTTGTATATTTTGCTTCCAGGATCTGGTTATTTGTTTGTGAGTATTTAGAAATGGCATCAAAATCATTCAACCAAAGTAGATCGTCACTCTCAATATCCTCAGATGTGCAAGATTCACAAAATGGCAAGCCTCCACTACCTCCAACAGCTGTGACCTATGATCGGAGGACCTCCTCTGGGCGATATGTAAACTATTCTAGGGATGATCTTGATAGTGAACTTGGAAGTGGTGAATTTCCAAACTATACGGTACATATACCGCTGACCCCTGACAACCAGCCAATGGATTCCATTTCCCAGAAGGTTGAGGAGCAGTATGTATCAAATTCACTTTTTACAGGAGGATTTAACAGTGTTACTCGAGCTCATCTCATGGATAAGGTGATTGAATCAGAGGCAAACCATCCCCAGATGGCTGGTGCAAAAGGATCCTCTTGTTCCATACCTGGATGTGACTCTAAAGTGATGAGTGATGAAAGGGGAAATGATATCGTCCCTTGTGAATGTGATTTCAAAATATGTAGGGACTGTTACCTAGATTCTGTTAAAACTGGTGATGGAATATGTCCTGGGTGTAAGGAGTCATATAAGATTACTGACTTGGAAGAAATAGCAGAAAGTAGAAGGCCACTTCCACTCCCTGCCCCTGCTGGGATGTCAAGAATGGAGAGAAGATTGTCCTTGATGAAATCAACAAAGTCAGTGCTAATGAGGAGCCAGACTGCAGAGTTTGATCACAACCGATGGCTGTTTGAAACAAGAGGCACATACGGCTATGGCAATGCTATATGGCCAAAGGAATCGGGTTTTGTAAATGGGAAAAGTGATGATATTGCAGAACCTACTGAGCTAATGAATAAACCATGGAGGCCTCTCACCCGCAAATTGAAGATTCCTGCTGCTATCCTCAGTCCATATAGGTAAATTTAGTATTTCTTATTTTTGCTCCTCAACTAGTAAAAGTTTTTGGTATGCAATTACAATGCTTGGTGAATGGTGATAGAAACAGGACTGTGATCTATCTCATCTCTTATAACAAGAGTTTATATGTCAAAGATCTTGCTAGGGTATTATCAATTTATTAACACATCTAATTTATTTTCTCATCTCCTCGGCCAAATTTTGAGATACTTCCCTCCTTTGTGATTGAATGCCATATGCTGATTAACTACAATATGTATGTTCACTGGATTTGTTGTTGCCTAGGTGTTTTATTTGAAACTTGTATAGCTAAATGCAATAGCCAAGTGATTTTCTGTGCTTTTTAGCAAATTTCCCAAAAAGGTTCTGAAATTCCTAACTGTGCTTCTTCCAATATTAGTGCTGCCACTTATCTGGCCAGATTATGGTAGATTCCTTATGTCCTGAGAATCCTAAAATAAAACCAGAGTGGTGTTATCTTACTAGATATTTACTTCAAACTCTATCTGATCTGAAATACTTGAACTGATAAGAAATTTTTTGTTTTCTCTTGCTTGTCTCATCAGGCTTTTAATTTTGGTTCGGATGGTTGTTCTTGGGTTTTTCTTGACAT